ATTCATAATTTTCAACAAATGTCCTTCTATCTTTTTAATGGCATTTTCATCCTCTATCCACTGTACAGTTCCTAGTTCCCAAGCAGGAAGCTTTTATTTTATGTAAAATATGGTGATTTTGAAAAATGGTGAAACCTTTTAATATTTAATTAATTTTAACTAATTTTTTTAGTCTTAGTAATTAATAGGACCTTATAAAGAGAAATGGCATTACTCCACAAAAAAATGTGGATAGATGCCTAGCTGAAATCATGTTGTTAACCTTTTCTCCTAAATAAAAGATGTTAGAATTTTGTGAGTTTAATAAAGACCAGTTTTAAAAAGACTTTTTGAAAAATTAAAGTTTAAACAATTTTAATTATTTTTTAACAGATTAAAATATACTTGTTTTGGGCCCGCAAACCAAAATATATTTTTTAATATTTTAACTTTGTACAAAATTTCACCTTAATTCTCAACTTTTAAAAACTATATTTTTAGTTAAAATTATTAGCCTTTAAGGATGAATTTGTGTAACAATTATGATTATTTTAAAAAATTAAAATTAATATATTAATATTTAAGAATATTTTATCACTATTTAAGATTTTAGAATCATTATTTTTTTCTAATATATCTTAGCTCGGCTTTTCCATGAGAAGGTGTATCGAACTGCAAACATTATATTCTTCTGGTCCTATTTATAAAGCATTTCTAACATATTTTGCACAGATCAAGAAAAATCTTAAATAGCATTAACTCTTCATTAAAATATAATAATTGTTCAGCTTTACTATATAAATAAATGATAAAATAGTAAATTCACTTTAAAATTTTAATGAAATAAATTATAAATAAGACAAAAAAAAATTTTTTTTCTCTCTGTCCTATCAGGAACAGAGGAGTATATGGCATGCCTTGTTAAAACCAACGTTTTAATGGTGGGATCCAACCTCAAACAAGAAAAGCTAACGGTCCTCAGCATTCATTGTTTGACCAATTAGACGGGAGTTTTTCTTTCTTTCTTTCTTTTTTAAATCAAGACAATTTATTCAACCAGATAAAATGACTATAATACTAAAAAGCTAGCCCGTTGAAATTGAAGAATTTGGGCAAGGGTTACAACGCACGCATCACTCCAAAATATTTTTTTTCAAGTATATCTAATATCTTAAAATATTTTATGATTCATCTAATAGTTTAAAGTATTTTTTTAAAATGTGTTCAGTACCTTAAAACATTTTTGTGTATTCAGCCTCTAATATATTTTTTTTTCAGTGCACCCAATATTTAAAAATATTTTTTAGCGCTTCTAATATTAAGACCAAAAAAAAATATTTAAAGCTTGGTCAAAAAAAAATATTTAAAGATACTTGACGGATAACTTTTTGAGCAAAGTTCAAATGCATCAATTTCATAGGCAGGCCCAAAACGACAAGAACGGAAAAGGCAACATAAAAGACAATCCAAACTTGTAACCAAAAAAAAAAGAAAAGACAATCCAAACAACAAAATGAGCAAGAAAAAAACAACAAATCTAACATATGGTTTGAAATTTAAAAGGTCAAAATCAAAATAGACATAAATTTAGAGGACCAAAAATTATATTAACCTTATATAGAAAAGATAATTTCATAATAATTCTAATTATCCACATAATAACAAGACAATATATATTCTTGATGAAATAACATTATATGGCTGCATTATAAAGTGCTTTTTGATAAGGCCATCTTTTTTTAAAAAAAATTATAATTTATAATAAAAAATTCGTTGTTTTTCATCAAATCCAAAGCCCGGTTGATTTTGTAAAAGTTATTTTGATTTTTGGTTTAATGGCAACTCATCCATAAAAAAATTAATTTGATTTAAATCCAGCCGCTACTAAGTCTAGTGAGGGTTTTTTAGTCACAAGTTAAATATATCATGCTTCCACATCATTATGGTAAAGTTTGATTTGATGTGCGCAACATTTCCAATTAATTTCATCAAATTTTCAAAGATATTTCAGTTAATGTGGTTGATTCAGTTATTTAGACAAAACCAATCTAAATAAACCGAATCCGATTAGATATTTAGAGTTTTAGACTCATCTTTTCCTCTCCGTTGTATGCTTTTCTTGATTCTTGATGCCCGGCATTAGTTTAGTCGTCTAGCTGTCAATCACGAGTCTCATTCACAAAATTATCCGGAATCTGCAAATTTCAATTCAGGACTCTAAAAATAATTTAATTACTTTGGAGATCAGAAAAACAAAAAAAAATCTATTAAAAACATCCTTAAATAACTCAAATTTTTATTTGGGTTATTAAATTTGTCAAAGTTTTAATCATGTCACTTACTTGAAAGAGAAATTCTAAATTTTGTAAAATAATTATAATATCCCTTCTATTAGAAAACTAAAACGATGAGGATAAAAAGCAATTTGAAAAAAGTGAGTCGCACCGCCAGAAGTACAGGTCTTAAAACAAACAAAAAAAAGATTCTTCTTGAATTCAAATTCCAATAAAAACTCAAATCAAATGCGGATTGATATTTTGTTCAAAAATTATGGCTGAACGTATTTTTTACTATCACCCTGACCTATATTTCATCTAAGCGAGACCTTCTAATTGTTTAGGTAGATCAAAATGCTAAGTAAGCAAAAAGAGAACCAGTAAAAAAGAATAAATCTTCCTTTTATTGAACGTAGTTACTCATTTTGATGACTTTATCATGTGATTTTATTTTACCATACAAATCTCTACCTTACCTTCTCGGAGTTCTATCTTCGGAGAACTTTTATACTCTTACTCATTTAGATTATTTACAATACTTATTTAGATTATTTAGAATTCTCATTTTATTTTACCTGATTTCATTCATTGAGAAGAAAAAAATATTTGAATTTATATAAAAATCTATATGCATACTACTTGGATATATTAAGTATAATGGGTTCACTAAGACTCAAACCTAGAACTAGTCAGATAGAGTAGATAATTTTTTTTGTTAATCTAATTAAAGAAAAAAAAAACCCCTTCCCAAGCTGTACTTGCATTTTTCATTGCACACAGCTTTTCCTATTTATACATCTAAATTTCAGTACTTATTTTATCAATTCCTATTCTATTCTCAGTACATGAGCATCTTATAATCCACTTCCTATTTCGTAATAGAAAGGAATGATTTTTTTTTTTTTCTCTTTTCCTAATTTAAGGAGCTCGATAGCCAACCTAGCAGCAACAATCGAAGTGGTTGAAATCAATGGATTCTTAATAAATTCCTCATACCCAAAATAAAAAAAATAATTAATGATACAATCAACTAAAAATTTATGACTTAATTATTCAGATTTATCAAGTCGAAGTAATTAAGAGTTTCAAATTGAAAAAAATATTATTTATTGAACCATAATACAATTTATTGAACTATAATGAGATTTATCGAACTATTAAAAAGACTTCGATATTTCATTTTTTGTTTTTATCCACATAGTTTTTGTGAATCCCTGCAATATTTGTTCTTATCTTACTTTACATTTCCAAACCATTCTTTAAATTCTCCATTCTTTTTCTTAATATCATTTTCACATATTATAAAAATTCTAACAAGGAAGATTTTACATCCACTGTTACAAATTTGGAAAATTGATCAAGGAGGCAATGATGAGTTAAATTTTATTTTAAATCTTCCTCTCTTAATTCTCATAGTTTCATCATGTTATCTTGGCTTCTCATTTTCCTTAACATGGATTGTGGGAGATGGTGGCGTATGTTGGGGAGGCAAGGAAGTCTGAAGTGTAGCTTTTAGAGTGATCTGAAAAGTTGGTGTGTGTGTGTGTGTGTGTGTGTGTGTGAAGAATATTATTGAGAGCTACGTGTGTACAGCTGAGTGGAATGTATTAAAACATGATTTGAAGTTGCTAATTGAAGGTGGATTTTGTTATATTGATTGTAAAAAGTGATTACGACCATGACTATGGGTTATAGTTGTTGACTTTTTGTTAATAGTTTAGTGAAACATGTTAAACCTCATTTGAAGTTGTACATGGAATTGGAAACTTATGAGTTATGAATTGAAAATTGTTAATTTATAATTGACATGTGTTAACTGCATAATTAAACTTGTTATTTTTCAAGATTATGATATAATCAGTTTTTATTCAAAGATACATTGCAAGTGTGTTATGAAAACATAAAATTGTTGGTTTAGAATTGAAATGTGTTAACTGCGAAATGAAAAATGTTAATTTAAAATTCTTTTTTGATTTTTAGTGAAAAGAACATTAAAGTCATTTTATAAAATTTTCAAATCTCTCATTGGCTCATGTGACTATGACCTAATTAGGATTTAGCAAATTTAGTAACCTAAATAAGATTTGAATTATTTAAGTATCTTTTTAAAGGATATTTCCTCTTAAAAACTAGCATAGGATCAAATTTTATGACAAAATTATCTATGGACCTGTTTGGGAGGGCTTAAAAAATTCCTTATAAGCACGTTTCATATAAGACGAGACAAAACTCCTCTCACATATTTGCCTCATATTCCATAAATCACTATTAAAAAGTTACTTATAAGCTACTTATAAGCTGTTCCAAATAGGTTTTAAATGTCTTAAATTTGAACTTGAAAAACAAAAAACAAAAACAAAATTACGCCAACAATTCAACAAGTAACAATTTTAATTTAAATCGTAACAAGCAATTTTATAAAAATTTCTTACTGAATATTAAAAATTTCTATACCACTCAATTAATGAATAAAAATGAGCAAAATCACCTAACAGTTTAAAAACTGAGGTTGATTGTTAATATTTTCAATGATCATGACCATACTGCTACTCTTTCAATATTTCCAAGTCAATATTTATCGCACGAAAATTTTCAGTTATAGGCAATTTCTACATGAAAATTTTCGTGGAAAAATTAGAACTTAAAGCATTTTGGAATTATGATATTTTGGTTTTTTTTTTTTTCCCCCGGGGTCAGCAAAGTGCATATCACATAATCACAGCTAAACCTAATGACAGAGAGAGAGAGGGTGCTTGTCTTCGCGCACACTTAAAATCGGCCGTCCTCGGCTCACACTTCGTCTCTCGCGCAATCCCTTCCTGATCGGCCGTCAGCTCGCCACCCTATTTCTTCAGCGGCGGAGCTCTCTCGTCTCTCCCTTAATAATCCCTCCATAGTCCTGTACGTTTACGTGTAACCGCTTGACCATTTTTATCATTATTCGCTCTTGCCATTAGTGAGCGAGTTTTCTTCTGCCTTAATTCATAATAGTAGTATCCGATTGCTATAATCTTATTTCATTCTTCCCTGCTGCTTATTTCTGTCATTGTTGTTATGTGATTGAATATTGTCTTGTGCGTGATGGAGTAGTTGCATAAATTTTTTTTTGTTGTTGTTGCAGGACTTAAAACTTCATTGGTAGAGCAAAACAATGTATCTTCAGTATTACATAAATGAAAATGGTGACAAAGTTTACACTACCAAGGTGATATTTAGTTTCTCTTTAGGTGTTCTGTTACACGACAGGGTTTCTTTTAAATTGAAGTTGAAAGCTTTAGGTCCGGTTTGGTACGGATTATTGAAAATAAGGTATAGAGATTATGATTAGAATTGAAAAAATTGATTAAAAAAAAAGTTTAGTATGAGATATTGCTTCATACATGTGATTAAACAAACCCATGTGTGTGGGATTGGGGAATACCGCTGGGGGAGGTGTTATTTCCTAAGTCCACCTTCATGGGTTTGCCTAATCCTATGTATCAAACTATTATTCATGCTAAATACTTTTTAGTGATATTTTTCAATTGCAATCACAGTCCCTATCTTCATTTTAATGCTTTGTACCAAATGGGACCTTAAAGTATTAAACATGAATTTGTGCTAAGCTTTTCATTATGGAAATAAGCAGATTTTTACATGCACCAGCGGGTTCATGAAGTAGAATGACAATTTGACATGTTCAAAGGACTTGTTAATGAAATATCACCATTTAGCATATCTATTATACTTCTTTTTTTTAATTGTTGTTTAAGGTTCAGGTTTACAGATTGAAAATACAATTAGTATATCAAAATTTCTTTTAACTTTCCTGACATTCCCTCAGTTTATTTTATCTATTCTCTCCATAATTATCTCTTACTCCATAATTAATGTTAGTGAAGATAAGGATGTACTTGTAAAAAATAGTAATTATTGTCGTCTTAGGTTTTCAAAATGACAGACATATAAAAACAAATCTTCTTTAAAAGTGACAGTTAAAAAGAAACAGTGGGAGCAACTGCCGGGAAATGATTTACATGTAGCTGCAAGTGTGGCTAAAAAGATGATTAGGAAAAAGAAGATGATGTGATTATTAGAAGAGATGGGCAAGTGTGTTGACTTTCTCTTTTGAAAAAATGATTGCATCAGTAGGTTTGGCGCATAGTTAAGTTTGGAACTCCATTCTATGTTGCACTACACTAAGTCCAATAAATGGATTTTTGTTGTACTAACTTTTAGCTTCTCTGTTCATGCAGAAAGAATCACCTCTGGGTTTGGCGACACAGTCTGCTCATCCAGGTAACATAGTTTGATTGTTTCGACAATGATGACACTTTTTGCCGTGGGTTTTCATGGAACATGGCCATTCTCAAGTTCCTTATGAATTATGTTCTGTTTTTTTTTTCTTCTTTACTTTTGTACAGAAGACAACATAAAGAAATTTTGAATAACATATATGAGTGACATTGTGCGTGATATCTTTAGAGAATGCAGAGTCTGTTCATTTTCTGTAGACTTGATCGCTAGATGTTAGTTGCATTGGGCTGCCTTCAACCTGTGGACCTTTTTTTTCTTTTTTTCATTTCAAAGTGTTGCATTATGATTTTTTTCCCTTTTAATTTTACTGAACGTTTCTTGAACCTAGAGTGAATCTGTGAAGATGCAAGTTATTATATATTTAAATCAAATTGAGAAAGCCAATCTTGATGGTAATCTGAGCACTCCTTCTGGGGCCTGACTTTGTGGGATGTGTTTGTATTCTGTTACGTGTGGTACATAGTACATTTGTGATGCTGTCTTCCCCTTAGGCGGTTAATTTATTGATTTAATCCTTATACCCTAGTCTTGGACTTAAGATGTGTTTGATTTTACGTGAAAAAACAAAACGTAGTTTCAGTAGTTCTCAACGTGAAATCAAACATGTATTTAGTGTTTGTTTCCCTTTAAATGAAAAGAGATGCCCTAGTTGTTTATGCCATATTCTGGGGGGAATTTTATTTATTTATTTACATCAGCAATACCTTATTGATGTTGGATCACTGTTACGTATCCGCTCTTTATTTGGTGACTTTGCAGCAAGGTTCTCACCCGATGATAAATACTCAAGGCAGAGATTCCTACTGAAGAAGCGCTTTGGTCTGTTACCAACTCAACAGCCACCTCAAAAGTACTAAGTCAATATTTAAATATGAATTAATGTGGCGTGCTTTCCTTCTTCCCTGTTTTGTACTAATGAACACTGAATTGATGGAAGAAATCTCTGGTGCTGATATTTCTTTAGTATGTAACGATTGACTGGTTGGATGTAGAGATTATGAATTGCAGCTTTATTGTTCATGTTATGGTTTTATGTGAAGAGATGATTTATATTTCTTCAACTTGTGAATTGCTTGTTGTGGTATGGGTATGTAAGTGTGTCGTTCCTGTCTTACGCCGACAGGGCTGGTGATGACAGGAAGATCATTTATCCTCGTTTGAATTCGATATTTCGAGTTACGTGTTGTGTGGCTTGTGCGAAGAATTCACAATCTACTTTGTTGAAAATTTCAATCCCAATTGGTGATTGGAATGATTGTATTATGCATCAAATTACTTGGCTATGACCTTGTTTGGCAATTGCGTCAAAACCTTATCGGTTCATTCGAATTTAATGAATAACTTTTTTAATATGTTGTGTACATGCAGATACTGTACTATAATCGATGTGAGTGGAAATGTGTTAAACCAGACTTTGAATCAGTGTAGTTTTTTAAACTGTGACCAAATTGGTAGGAATAATTTCATACCTTCATCCTTAATGAAGGTTTTAAAAAATTCATACCTTAACAAGTTAATATTTAATCTAAGTGAATTAATAATTCATCGTTAGTGCTTTACCCTTAGAATCTAGGAAAAATGACAAAAAAAAAAGTTGGAATTTTGTAAATACTATACAAGAAATGTCAACAAAAATTTGTTGTTATTTGCAAATTCAGATTTGTCAATACTAAATAAAATTGTGTTATTAAATCTGATTTGGGATTTTCAATTTTCAGTTTCTTTTTCTGTCATTCTCTCTAGAATCTATTCTTTTTAATCACTTTTTTTTCTTTCCCAAAATCTATTGTCAGAAAGTTAATCAAAACACAATAAATTTTAAATTAGTAATAAATTCGTATAAGAATAATGCACATAGAATATTCAAATATTGGGAAAATATTTTTCCTAATGGTAATGTTTTCCATTAACGACTAAAAAAATTATTAAAATGGGGGAAAAGAAATGTTTTAATTTGTAAAGTTTGTAGCATTGGTTCAATAGCAAAAAGACAAAGCTGTCGCGAGGATAAGACGAAGATGTGGATTTGATAAGGAATGGATAGTAAATCCCGAAGGACTCAGTGGCGGGCTGGCTCTGTTATGGAGCAGTGAAATTGTAGTTAATGTGGTACACTCCTCGAGCAACATCATTCATGCTACGCTCTCCTCAAGTTTGATTAATGTGCCTCAATTCATTACCTTTCTCTATTGCCCCCCAAAAGAACAAGGAAGGAACCTGGGAAAAAAATCTTGTCCATTGCAAGAGAAATTGAGGGCCCCTGGATGTGTGTAGGTGCCCTTAACGACAATTAGAAAAATTCTAAACTTTCAGAGGCAGATTTCTAACCGCGGCCTTCTAGATCTGGAATCCAGGGCTCAGATTATACTTGGAATAACAAAAGAACGAATAAAGCTCTTGTGAAGGAAATGTTAGATAGAGCTCTGGCTAATGTGGCTTTTAGAGAAAGTTTCCCCAAAGCCCAAGTCTTCCATTTAGAACCACTAGGTCAGATCATTTCATGTTGCATATTGATTTACGTTTTGACAGTATTCAAACCCCTTTTGTTTTCAGATTTGAACTTGTCTGGATGGAACATTCTGATTTATGCAAAGTGGTGCAACAAGGTTGGATGGGAATGATTCAAAATGACATGAGTAAAGTGGAAGAATTTTTCCAAAGATTAATGAACTGTCGAAGCACTCCTTTATACGGGAGTAAAAAGGTGTTCCCAAACTGCGACAAGTTAGTTGAGAAGCTGAAAAAAGCAATTCCTAGAATGCATAAAAGGGGGCTTCAATGAAGGTAAACTACAAAGGGTTGAGGAAATTACACCGGAGATTGATAAGACCTGGGACGGGGAGGAGGCTTTCTGGTGGCAAAGATCCTGTATCGCTTGGCTGAAAATAGGGGACCGTAATTCAAAATTCTTTCATATCTCCACAATATAATGCTGCCGCAAAAATTCAATTCTAAGAATCAAAAGTGAAAAGGGGGCCTGGGTGGAAGAAGAGAATGAGATAGTAGAGAGCATATCTAGATATTTCTCTATTCTTTTTACAACCTCAAGTCCACACGACTTCAATGATAAGAGAATCCTCTTGGCTCCAGCAATAGACACAAAAATTACAGAAGCAGCCTTCCAGCTAAGAGGCACAAAAGCACTAGGGCCTGAAGGATTCTGTGGCAAATTCTATCAGGGCAGTTGGAGTATGATAAATAAAGAAGTAACGGAAATGGTTAAAGAATTTTTCTTCGGAAATGGTGACATCAGTAGGCCGAATGACACCAATCTGGTGTTGACCCCGAAGATAGAAAGAGTAGAAATGATCTTCAATTCTGCTCGATTGGGTTATGCAACTCCTCAGACAAGATCATATCAAAATTGCTAGCCAATCGATTGAAGCTACTGCCAAACAAAAGCATCTCTCCTACCCAAAGCCCTTTTGCTCCAGGGCGACTGATACAAGACAACATAATTATTGCCCATGAGGTCTTCCTCTACCTTAAAAGGAAAAGAACCAGGGGAAAATATGAGTTCGATCTAAAGATGGATATGAATAAAGTATATGATCATATTGAATGGGATTTCCTTTGGGTAGTTATGCTAAAAATGGGCTTTAATAAGGCCTTGGTGGAGCTGGTGATGAAATGCGTCACGTCGGTGCATTTGAATATTTGTTTATCAGGTAGAAATGTTAGCCTGTTTTATCTGAGGAGGGGACTTGTACAGGTAGACCTTCTTTCCCCCTATTTGTTTATCCTTGTGGCTGGGGGTCTCTCTTCCATGTTAAACAGGGAAGTGAATAGGAGAAATTTGAAGGGAATAAAACTGTCTAAGTGTTGCCCAGTGTTATCTCACACTTTTTTTTTTACTGACGATGTGTTACTATTCATGAAGGTAGATCTTGAGAATTGTAGTAGGTTATCAAGGCTACTTGGAATGTATCATGATGCATCTAGTCAACAGTCAAACCTCAGTAAATCTAGGCTTATATTCTCAAGAAACACACCGTCTGAGGTGAGGGATCAAGTAAGCCTTGCTCTAGGAATACCGACTGTAGAAAACCCAGGTAAATATTTGGGCATTCCTAATATGTGGGGCAAATCGAAGAATCAAGCCCTGGCATACGTCAAAGAGAGGGTGAGCAAGAAGGTTCAAGGATGGAGAAGCAAACTTCTTTCCTTTGCAGGCCAGGAAATCATGATCAAATCTGTGGTTAATGCAATCCCTATCTATCCCATGACTTGTTTTAAGTTTCCTAAGAAAGCATGCAAAGATTTTGGTAGGGGCAAAATGAAAAGGGGGAATAGTTTGCACTGGAGAGCATGGGAACATTTGAAGAAACCAAAGAAGCATGGAGGGGTGGGATTTTGGGACTTTGAGGTCATCAATATGCCCTACTTGCCAAAACAGCTTAGCATTTGACGCAAGAAGAGGACTCTCTGTGGTGCAAAGTCCTGAAAGTTGTTTACTTTCCTAATAGTTTTTTGTTGAATGCTGTAAAAGGATATAAAGCATCATGGTCCATGGATATGGTCTAGTATCCTCATGGGTAGGGATATGATCTCTCCAAATTGCCAGTGGTTAATTGGTGATGGAAAATCTATCAAGGTATGGCAGGATAATTGGATGCCAGGTTTGTCCAACAAGTCTCTTAACCAAGACTTGAATCTTAACAATGACTCGAAGGTGATAGTAGATAGTCTTATTGTTGAAAACATATGGCATATGACCCCTCTGGAAGCTATAATTTGGATTAATATTGTGCAACTCATTAGCAAAATTAGATTGGATTACCTAACCCAAAAGGGCAAAGTTGTTTGGACCCCAGCCGTAATGGTGCATACACAGTGAAAAAAGGGTATAAAATCCAAATGGATGTTAGAAGATTTATCTCGATGAGACCTAGAACTTCTTGCGTTTTGCTCGAATCTGTGTGGAAGGAAATTTGGAAAATCAAGGCCCTTCCAAGGATGGTACATTTTGTGTGGAGATGTTGCTCGAAAGCGGTGCCTACTAATCAAGCTCTCTTCTTGTGCCACTGTTCTATCAACCCACTGTGCCTTGTGTGCCTTTCAGAACCAGAAACTTTGGAGCACTTGTTATTCTTCTATCCTTGGGTTAGAGGAATTTGGTTTGGAAGTCAATTATCAATGAGAGTGGATCAAGCTAGACTAAACTCTTTTGAAGAATGGTTTAGCTTCCTAACAGAGTCAACCATGAGGCTTGAGGAAAATGATTTTGCCCTGATTATGTGGATTATTTGGTGTATTTAGAAGGAAATGAATAATACAGTGTTCAATGCCAAAACCCCTGATCCAATTGTTGTTTTGACAAGAGCACAAAAGGGAGCTAAGGAATTTCTAGAAGCACATGAATGGGATTTAGAACAGGATAATGTGATGTCCATCAGCCAGCCTGATCATTGAGTTGCACCCCCTTAATTAGAATGGCTCAAGATCAATTGTGATGGGTCATTTTTGGTTGAAGATAAGTCTGCTACAATAGGCCTAATTTGCAGAGACAGTTCGGGATCCTTCATTTGGAGCTCTGGAGAGTATAATGAAGCTCAATCAGCTTTCATCTCTGAGGCTCGTGCTGTATAGAAAGCTTTGATGTTGTGTAAGCGTCTAAACCTCAACGAGATTATTATAGAAACTGACAACCAGGATTTCTTTGTTTGTCTGAACTCTTCTTTACTGGGGAGGTGTGAAAGAGTAGGATGGCAAATCCTCAAGAACACTTTAGATCTAGCTGCCTTATGCATAGACCTTCTGTTTTCCTTCTCTCCATGAGAAGGCAACGGTGCTGCTGATCATTGAACAGTCTTGATGCGTAGGAAGATGTACCTCATGGGGTAGGTGGACACACCATCATCTTCTTTATTTGAGTTTCTGTCATGTGATACTGCTAGCTCTATGGCTACTCATCACAAATCGCCAAATCATAATGAAGGCATGATAGAGAGGGAATTGGTTAATGGCTTAAGTATGGTTTCTAGTCTTTTAGAAAGGGGATGGCCTTTTGTCTTAGCTTTTAAATCTTTGCTTATCTTCCTTTGCGTTTTTGCTTGTACTAGACTTTATTTTTTGCCAAGTTCATATAAAGAATTATTCAGGTAAAAAAAAAAAAAGTAGCATTGGTTCAATGGTTATAACCAGTTTTTAATTGGTTTGATTTGATTTTTATACACATTTCGGAATACGCAATAAGCTCTAGGTTGGTTGATGGAAGGTATAGAGCTCTGCCTACTACTTTGCTATTTTTACATGCCTCTGTTCTAGTGAAGGCTCGTTTAGTAGACAGCAAGCGAGCAGCAGGCCCCTACCTACTCCTATAAAAATGCAAAGCAGCAACCTCCCGTCAACTCCTTCATTTTTATTTTTTTTAATACTACCTTCGTTTCTAATTATAAGAGCCAGTTGACTAATTTAAGAAGACTAAATAAGTAAGTTGAGTTAGTTACTTATCTTAAATAGGTATTGTCTTTCCTAAAATATCCTTGTTAATCAAGTGTATTAACTAGAACTATAATTATTAGAAGAATTATCTTGGAAAAAATTGAGTAAGGATGAGAGACAAAGTAGATTGAGATTTTATATTTAGGACCAAAATAAAAGTCAAACAGAGTCTTATATTAAGGACCAGAGGTAATATTTACTACTTCTAATATTTAATATAAGAGTTAGTTGACTAATTTGAATATATTAAGAAAGTTTGTTGAGTTAGTTATTTATAATTATTATGTGTTGTCTTCCTAAGATATATTGTTTGGTATAAGGGAAATGGAGATGAGGGGATGGGAAGGAAAATTTTAATAAGCTCTATTTGAAAAATTAGATAAGTGAGGTTTGGAAATTTTAATAAAAAGAAGGAGTAATATAAAAGAATAGTAAAAATTGATTAAAAGCTTTTAACCCTGTTTTTTTAAATTTTTTAAATCAAATTTATTAAAATTCTCCCTCCCTTTCCTTCCTCTCATTTTCCTTCACGCCATACAGATCCTAAAATACCTTTGCTTATCATATATTAATTAAAACTATCATAATATGTATAATTATTATAAAGACTACTTTAAAATAAATAAATAAATAAATGAAAGAGATTATGTGAAGAACACGAGGTAATGCTGTATCTTTTAAAATCCATGCAGATGCGGAGAAACAGCTTCCCCTCCCCCGTCGTTGCTACATTACATGTCACCGCTTGATACAAGTTCGCCAAAAATCTTTGATCCAAAACAAACCAATAAAACAAAGCCACGTCATCACCAAAATCTCAATTGTTTCAATCTCATCCTCACAAAGCATTCTCCTATCCGCATTTAATAATTTCTGTTCCCACTTCTCCCATAATCCCTTCCTCACCACCCAACCAAACCGACGCGATCCAATTTCACCGATCCTTCTTCTTCAATAATGGCAGCTTCCTCCATGATCTCCTCTCCCGCCTTCTCGCCGGCTGCCCAGCTCCCCCGACACTCCCCGGTGGTGAGCCCCTCTTCCCTGAGCTTCCACGGCCTCCGACCGCTCACCACCAAGGCAAACCCTCTCTGCACTCAGAAAAGGACCTCGGCTGCGCGTGGTGGATTGGTGGTTAAGGCTGAGCTGAATCCGTCGGTGGTGATCAGCCTGAGCACAGGGCTTTCGTTGTTCTTGGGGAGGTTCGTGTTCTTCAACTTCCAGAGGGAGAACGTGGCCAAGCAGGGCTTGCCGGAGCAGAACGGGATGACACACTTCGAGGCCGGAGACACGAGGGCGAAGGAATACGTGAGCCTGTTGAAGTCCAACGACCCCGTCGGATTCAACATCGTCGACGTCTTGGCTTGGGGTTCCATCGGCCACATCGTCGCTTACTACATCTTGGCCACCACCAGCAACGGCTACGATCCCAAGTTCTTCGGCTGAACCCTAATTTTAATTCGTTCTGAACCTCTCTTTCCTTATCCCCTAGCTGTATAGTTTCTTCTATGATCTATCATTTTGTTCCAAAACTAGCTCTATGATCACTGAAAACAAATGATCTCTTTTGATCCATTTTTCTTCTTCTCTTTTTTTGGATTATTGACTGCTTTACTATAAGATGTTCAAGTTATAGGAAACTAAGCACGTAGTTATGCGAATTTTGATTTGAGCCAACCAAACGCTTGAATCAGTAGGTAATCGGAAATTCCTGAAGCATGGAATTGAACCTAGCATTTATCAGTTCCATGGGAAAGACATAAAACTAGAAGATTAGTTTCAACACTTGGTGGAATCAATGAACATTAAACCAGTATTTTTATCGTTGAATGAATTAATATGTAATCTAATTTTAAAGTTAGGTAGCTAGTTTTGTGCCCAAGTTGATTTTGTTGTATGCTCCTCCGGTGCGGGGTAGATAATTTGAAATTTAATGTTGGTATTGTATGTGAGATTTTTATTTTACATGTTTATAAGATTTTTCCTGATATTTTCTTAATAATAATGAAGTAGGAAGAGAGAGAATTAAGAAAGATAATTAAGATATTTTAAAAAAAAATCATATTACTTAATTTAACTAATATTTTTAATTTATTTAAATTAGTTAATTAGATATTACTTCTAATCTTTAATATAAGAGCTATTTGACTAATTTGAGTAATTTAGAGAAATTAGTTAAACTAGTTATTTATAATAAATATGTGTTGTCTTTTCTAAAATACTATTGCTAATCATGTATATTAGCTGGAATTACTATTTAATGAAATATTTAACATATATAATTATCATAAGAACTATTTTAAAATAGATAAATATAAGAGATAAAATAAATTAGAATTATATACTTAAGATCAAATTAATTGTTAAATTAGTTTTTATATTAAGAATGAAAGGTAACGTTACTTAAGTATGCAGTAGTTTGAAAAAAAAATAGTTAGAGAAGCACTTGAGAACTTTTGAACGTCGAAATGATGTGTAATGTTTTTTTCCGCTCAGGTCCCCTTTGGATTTTTTTGACCTTGAAAAAAAAAATCTAAAGTAATTCTTTTTCAATTTTTATCTATCATTCCTACAGGTCAATATTCTCAACATGAGAATCAGACCAACGAAATAATGTTACTTAGCTGTGCATTTGTTCTCACCTAGTGATCCGTGACCGGAAGAAATATTTAGGGAAAAGTTCATTCAAGTCTCATGTAAGAGAAATTATTACTCTAAAGTCCCATGAAATCATTAAATAAATGTGAAGTCCCAAGGGACTTGTGGGTAATAGAATCAAATTGTGAAATTACCAAGCTGCCCTCACTGATTAATTTAGTTATTAATACATTCCACGATAGTTGTTAATATAACTGGTTTAGTTGTTAATGACAAGCATATAGTGCATGTAGACATTAGTTGTTAATACATATTACGATAATTGTTAACACAACTGATTTAATTGTCAATTATAAGTGTGCGATACAGGTGGATATTAATTGTTAATACATGCCGCGATAGTTGTTATCATAACTGGTTTAGTTGTCAATAACAAGTACATATTCTAAGTAGACATTAGTTGTTAATATATGCTGCGATAATTGTTAATATAACCAGTTTAGTTGTTAATGACAAATATGCAGTACATGTAAATATTAGTCGTTAATATATGCTGCGATAGTTGTTAATATAACCAATTTAGTTGTCAATGACAAGTGTGCGGTGCATGTGGACATTAGTTGTTAATACATCTGCTATATTTGTTAATATAACTGGTTTAGTTGTTAATGACAAGTGTGCGGTGCATGTAGACATTAGTAGTTATACATGCCATGATATTTGCTAATATAGTTAATTTAGTTGTCAATGATAAGTATATAGTATATATTAACAATAGTTAATATATATCACGATAATTGTTAATACAATTAGTTTAGTCGTCAGTAAAAAAATGTGTGATATAAGTTGATATTGAAGACCAACATATTTGAAAAGCATCTATTATGTTTGTTTCATATAGGAACCCAACTTATAAATGGTGGATAAGCTCATTTGCAATATGCTGAGAGTTGTATGATAACAAGAACCATAAAAGAATGAGTAGAATGTCTAATTAAGTCATATAAAAATTTGTTTGAACATTGAAAAATCAAATATAAATTTATATGTTATATCACAATATACAGTTTCAATATAAGCACTCTAAATCTCATTGCAATCATCCATATTCACTATAAAGATTTAATTTTATTTCATGAACAATAACGTTAAAAACAATAAATATTTATTACTCGAATAAAGTCATTCCAAAATAAATCCATAAAGATTTAATTGAGAGTGAAGATAATAAAAAATTCATCCAAGTACTAATTCCAAAAGCAACAAAATAAATCCATAAAGACAACCATCCATTCTAAAAATAACATATTTATTATAATATGCAAATCCCAGAGAATAATAGAGCAAAATCACTTGTAGACGAGGGAGCAAATAAAGTGGTGACCTTTGGTACAGGTGGGACTTGTAAGGATTCAAAAATATTCAAAACAATAGAAAGCTATCCCAATATACAAGGAGGATCCACTAAATTCCAAATTGTTAGCTGCTACTCATGAAATTCAAGAACATAGCAATGGTAAGCTGAAAGAACAATCCATAATATGAAAAATAAAAGATCATAAATACTATTCAAATGATAAAGATGAAATAACTCTTCAATAACATAATTTGAGAACATCCCTAGTTAAATAGAACGCTTATGATTGGCCAAAAAAAACAAGTTTTGACATCAAATAGGATATTATTTGGGATAAGAACCGGAAGAGAAATCAATTATCATGGTATAAGAGATTGGCAGGGGCAGAAATTAGAATGGATGGGTGGAGTGAGGAGTTATCTTGACCATCATACGTATCTATACAGATCAGTGGAAAGAGCGAGATGATGAGCGAGCAAGTAGAGCAATAGAGGACTGAAGGGGTTGATGGTAATAGACTGATGTGCTGTGAATGATGGTGGAGCTAGACTAAGGGTCGAAAGCCAGAGAAGGCGACATCGTGACATGGAGTAAGAGGCGAAGAGACAAGAGGCAAGAGGCGAAGGCATGAGCGAGAGGCAATGGAATGAAATTAGGGATTTTGGTGGTTTATTAGCTTCTTTTTCTTTTTAATAAACAAAGCCAAAACGGTAATTGGCTAATGATAATTTTTTACGATCAGGTCCCATGGGACTTTAGAACCATTTGAAGATTTTTAGGGACCTTTCTAATGGTATGTCTCTTGTTTGGGACCTTAACGTAATTTTCCCAAATATTTATAGCTGGTACGATTAAGAGTTTTTTATGAGTTACTTTGAATGAATTTTGTATTTTTTTTCTTCATTGTCAAATTTAAAACAACATCATTTTGAATTAGCAAGAAAATAATAATCCATCATATTTGTGTTTTAATAACTTTATTTTTTTAATGATGTATTGTTTATACGTGAATCATCCATTTAGTTATGCATGTATTAATGTTTTTTATTTTAAATATTACTCTTTTTGAGTGTTAACGTCTGAGAAAACAAATTCACAAAACAGTGTCGGTAAAAAAGTTTTAAAGATGGACAGTAAAAATTAAATCTAAACATTTTAAATGTCAACTTAAGATGAGCTCATGGTACTCATCCTTAATTAGGATGTCCTATGCACATGTGCTGGATTTTCAGTTTTAGATTACTTGTAACATTCCATGTAAAATTATGATTTTTTTAGTTATTGTCTTCTTCTTCTTGTGTTACAAAGGCAAAAAAAATATCCCACAATGATTTTTTTAAATATATTAATCATCAATCATGTTATTATTAGTTCACTTGAGTTTGTAATTGTTACATTATTGAACTAATGGGTCAACACACAAAAACAAAAGAAGATTGATTTTAGAATATCAAGCACCTTTTAATTTTTGTTTTCTAATTTTTCTTTGTAGTTTGGAGAGAGCTATTGTTTAGTTTAAGCACATATTTTAAAATGTATTTGATATTTCTGGAAGTCGAAACAAATGTTAGTCACTAAATCACTAAATGAAAAAAATACGGAATAAAGTTATTTTTTTGGCCAAAAAAAGGGAATAAATTTATTTTTTGAATATTAGTGACTCATGCTTAAAACGGTTATAATTATAGAAATTGAGTTGCAAGAAATCAAATTTCAGAAATTGAATTATAGTCAAATTAAAATTATAATAACTGAGTTACATGGAACCACGATTTAAAGGCTGAGTTTTAATTGAGTTAGATCCTGCTATAAGAACAAAAAAAATTCTTAATTTTAAAGCCAGTTTCGAGATATGATTGATCCATTAAAATATTATTTTATACCTTTGTTTTATTTAAAATAATTATTGTGTATTTTTTATTTTGCAATCATCCAAATGTAGTCAACATTATTGACTAATCTGTTTGAATTGGATTCCAAAGGAAAGCTCGATTGCATATTATTTTACTAACTTTTCAATATTTTACTAGATATGCATTATAAAAAAAATACTATCTTTTATGGAATCGATTTACCAAAAAAATAATCTAATGGAATTGAAAAAAAGTGTAACCTATTTTGTTACTTAACTAATTATTAATAATTAATAATCTGCAAATTTATACATGACAAATTTTCAGTCATTGTCCCAAGATCCCTTGAAAGTGAGAAAGGGATCCTTATTTGGTTTGATCAAAAGAAATGGGGGATGAGTTAAGGGCAACTAGCTTTGACAACCTTGTGCAATGTATAAAGAGAAGTTATCTCACTTCATAAACCAAAAAAATAAATAAATATATCAATTACACTTTGATAAAAATTGTCATTCTATATTAACATTACATTTCATGTCTTTGCAAATTCTTAAATTTCTTTTTATACAAAACATTCGTAGTTGTCTTCTTTTGTTTTATTATGACTATCATTCAAAAACATCTTCAAACTTTTCCTTCTCCTCACTCTTGAAAGAGTGCGAAAAACTGACTTCAATAGATATAATTCAACATGATGCGATGATTATTTCTGACTTTTTTTAATAGTCATGGTAAATGACAGGGTCATTAGAAATTGCCTCATTCACATACAAAACAAACTCTAGTCATATTTATAAGATCTTGTTTGTATACTACAAATACGATCTTATAA